GCGTGTCCTCCGCCGACCATTGAGTCATGCACCTGCCGTCCGTGTAATATTCCGGCTCTCTCCGAGTGACGTTGCAGCCCCACCCCTACGCGTTATGCCACTGGTCACGTGGCTTCATCAGGGGGTATTGATCTTTACATTTTGGACTTATATTATTGAATTAAATTTATTATTATTATATCATTATTTTTTATGATTATTTATTAAATTATAATTTATGATTTCGTGTTTCAAGTTTTATCATATCCGGAATGTTTACTAGACTCTTGTTCTGACAGATTTCAGAAAGTTATTCCTAAAAATGACAGGCCTACAATAAAAAAAACTACATATTTCCATGCAAAATAATGGTACCGCTTTCAGCACCAAAAATCTGAAATAATCATACCACCAGGGAGGTTAATGGGGCAGTACATCAGCTGTATAGTGTCATGTAATTCTGTACAGTGTGCTGTGATAAAATGCAACACGTCTGTATTTTTTTGCAGCACAGCTCCAGCCTGTGTTGCGAAGTGAATAGGACACACAGGAAACAATTGTTTTCTGTGTGTTCTTGCAGTGATAGGCGTTTTACAATGCAGTAAAAAATTTGTCACCATACAATGTGTGAATTAGCATTTGCACTGTGTCGCTGGGAAAAAAAGTGCTTGCCGCATCACCCTGCGTAGGTGATTTGGTAAACTTAGAGAGCCCGGGCCAGAGTCTTTTTACAATTATTCAAAATAATTGGATAGGCATGTCAAAATGTGGACAGTTTCTCCAAAAACGTTTTTTTTTTTTCCCATAGTAAATTTTTATTTGGTTTTACAAATATATATAGTTACAACAACAAAAAAAACATGACAGTGAAAAGCTACACAATATCACAGTATAGGTGCTGCATTCAAGTTTAGCAAAGAGAAAAAGGAAATATTAAATAATTCCTAACAATCCTACTAGTTCCACGAAATAATCATTTTAGAGTATCCAAGAAAAGGTTTAACATAATATCTTAGGTTACAGTTTTGAACCAGTCGGATCAGGGTTTCCAAGCTTTGTTAAATTTGGTAATTCTGTTGTTTAGGTAAGACAAATATTTCTCATAGATGAAGTGGGTCTGGACCAGCTCAATGACTTCTTTTAGAGAAGGGGCTAAGTCTTTTTTCCAGTGTCTAGTAATGGTAAGTCTTGATGCTAGAAGAATATGTGTCACTAAGAGTCGATAATTGATTGGATCTGTATCTATATTTATATTAAAAATGGTTAGGGTAGGATCTGGCTGTTTTAATATCCCAGTAATTTCTGATGTCGTCATGTGGAAAACATTATACCAATAGCGTCTATTATTTTTACATGTCCATAATATATGTTTATATTATAAACATATAATGTTTATATTATAATATACAAATATATTTTATATACTGTATTTGTGTACCAATCTGACTGCAGTTTTTCCAGCATTGAGGACTATGTTGTTCTGAGAATTTGGCCATTTGGTAAGGAGTTAGATACCATCTTGTGGAAATTTTGTGCATTAGCTCCCAAACAAATCTTAACAAATCTAGTAGCTGAAAACACATTCCCACTGCTCATTACAGATTTCAGACTCTAAGACTGGCCATACATTATACAATTTTCTTGAAATTTTTGCTTTAGATTTACCAAAAACCATAAAATATGAGGTCAAACCTAAATAACACTTTCAATTGTATCCAATTAGACAGGCCCTTGCACTACATAGTTGAAGGTAAATCTAAAGGAAATTGAGCAGAAATTGTAAGAAAATTGTATAGTGTATGGCCAGCCTAAGTCTTTTTCCCACTTGATTAAGGGAGTAGTCTTATTAAATTCTGATTTACATTGTAGAAAGTTATAAAATAGGGTTATACCACCTGATTATAGAGCGCGGAATGCGTCTATCATTTGAAGGCACCCCAAGGCGGTGTGTTCTTTCAACCTGGCAAGGTGACGAAATACCCAGTGCAGCGGGAATGCACGTAGAACAAATGTCGGGTAACGAGCCTGAGTTATAGGATTCTGGGAGGCCTAAGATGGGCAGATTGTTCCTGCACGAACGGTTCTCTAAGTCATCAAGTTTGTCCAGGATGTTTTGCTGTGTGCGTTTAGAGTGTAAAACGCCGGCCTGCATAGCTTGAAACTCATCCTCTAGATCAGAGAGGCGTTGTTCAGCTTCAGTTATACGTTTGGCGTTGTCTCCCAAGTCTTTTTTAAGTTGCTCTATACCCTGCGTTACTGCTCTGTCCACTGCCTGAGTAATAGTAGGTAGTAATAAAGAAGCAACAGCCTGTGCAATCCTGTCATATTGGTCCGTGAGACTAAGGGTGTCAGCATGCCCCAGTGAGTTTGTGGTGAGTGACTGTTCTTCTGCCATACCTGTTCCATTGTCTGCGTCCATGCTGCTGCTCTGTTGGATTTGATCGGCAGCCATCTTGGCTGCAGGAGGGGGAGAGCTGTTCCCTTGGGACTGTGCAGCGGGACCAGAGCCGGGTGGAGCTGGCAGCAGATACAGGTCCATGCAGGGGGGATCAGGGGGCACTTTTGTGCCGATTTGACAATTTCCCAGGTGCAGGGAGCCGGTTTTATAGGCGGTTGTACCCGGAGCCGCGGGTACCGCTTCTAAGCCATGCGGCGCCGGAACCAGAAGTTAGATAAGGATTTAGAAGTTTGATATTTCTGTTCAGCACACAGGAAGGTACAAGTGTACTGGATTTCTGACAAGATCAGTATGCATTTATTTTATATATATATATATATATATATATATATATATATATACACACTATACTGACAAAAGTATTGGGACGCCTGCCTTTACACGCACATGAACTTTAATGGCCTCCCAGTCTTAGTCCATAGGGTTCAATATTGAGTTGGCCCACCCTTTGCAACTGTAACAGCTTTAACTCTTCTGGGAAGACTGTCCACAAGGTTTAGGAGTGTGTCTATGGGAATGTTTGACCATTCTTCCAGAAGCGCATTTGTGAGTTCAGGTACTGATGTTGAACAAGAAGGCCTGGCTCGCAGTTTCTGCTCTAATTCTTCCCAAAGGTGTTCTATCGGGTTGAGGTCACCCAAACTTGCTCATTCATGGCTTTATGGACCTTGCTTTGTGCACTGGTGTGCAGTCATGTTGGAACAGGAAGGGGCCATCCCCAAACTGTTCCCACAAAGTTGGGAGCATGAAATTGTCCAAAATATCTTGGTATGCTGACGCCTTAAGAGTTCCCTTCCCTAGAACTAAGGGGCCAAGCCCAACCCCCTGAAAAACAACCCCACACCATAATCTCCCCCCCTCCACCAATCTTTATACTTGGCACAATGCAATCAGGAAACCACCAAACCCAGACACGTCCATCGGATTGCCAGATAGAGCAGTGTGCTTCATCACTCCAGAGAACACATCTGCACTGGTCTAGAGTTCAGCGGTGATGTTCTTTACACCACTGCATCCAACACTTTGCACTGCACTTGCTGATGCAAGGCTTGGATGCAGCTGCTTGGCTATGGAAACCCATTCCATGAAGCTCTTTAATGCACTGTTGTTGTGCTAATCTGAAGGCCACGCAAAGTTTGAAGGTCTTTAGCTACTGACTTTGCAGACAGTTGGCAACTGTTGAGCATTGTGCACTTCAGCATGCACTGACCATGCTGTCATTTTATGTGGCCTACCACTTGGATGCTGAGTTGCTGCTGTTCCCAGTTGCTTCCACTTTGTTATAATACCACTAACAATTGAGCATGTAATATTTAGTAGGAAGAAATTTTCATGGATGGACTTATTGCACAGGTGGAAACCTAAGTGGTACCTAGCTTGAATTCACTGAGCTCCTGAGAGTGACCCATTCTTTAACAAATGTTTGTAGAAGCAGTCTGCATGCCTAGGTGCAGGACTTTATACACCTGTGGCCATGGAGATGATTGGAACACCTGAATCCAATGATTTGGAGGGGGTGTCCCAATTCTTTTGGCAAGATAGTGTATATGATAATGTATATGTCACAACTGATGAGCATAGAGTATCCACCAAAACTCAGTGACTAGAGAGAAAGGATAAAGAGATGCAACCTTGCCTTTTTATTTTTTTCTTAAAACACATGAAAAGTGTACATAACACTACACAATGTTGAAAAGTCCAAGATGAGTTATTACTTATGTCAAGTGCAGTGGATAATTGGGGAACTGGGAACTTATAATGGAATCTGCTAAGAACTCCATGTCAAGTAAATATATTTAATACATAAATTATTATTTGTAATTAATACATTATTAATTAGTTAATAACGTTACAGTATCTATATCCTCCTGTAATATAATAATAATTTGAATTGTTGAATCATAATGTCAATGTATAAACTATTCAGATTTACTGTATTTTCCGGCATTTAAGATGACTTTTTATACTTAAAAACATACCCCAACAATTGGGGGTCGTCTTATACGCGGGGTATAGAATGTCAGCCCGCTGGATGTGCGGTGATACTGTACGGTAGCTTCGGATACATAAAGTATATCGCGCTGAGCCAATCACGGCGAGCGATGTATTCTATTAATGAATACAGAGCCTGCTCGGATTGGCTGAAGTTGTGACATCATCAGCCCGCCTCTCTGACGCAGCCAATCTGAGCAGGCTCTGTATTCATTAATAGAATACATCACTTGCCGTGATTGGCTCATATGACGTCCTCCCATTCTCCGCACATGCGCGGTTCAGGGAGCGTGCGGCGATCGGCGGTGCTCTGTGTCCCTCGGACACAGCGGATCACTGATCATGGAAAGAGCCGAAGATGTCAGCTTGGTCATGTGATCAGCTGTGTCCAATCACAGCTGATCACATGTAAACAGGGAAATGCCAGTTATCGGCATTTCTCTCCTCTCGAGCTGTCACGCTGACAGAGGAGAGGAGAGCCATTAATCGGCTTTCCGTGGAGGGGACATGTACACCGAACATCAGAGCACTGATGATCAGCGTGCGCTGATGATCAGTGTAGCCCCAGTAGTGCCACCTGTCAGTGTCCATCAGTGCCACTGCCACGTGCCAGTGCCCATCAGTGCCACATCAATGCCACATATTAGTGCATACCAGTGCACATCAATGCCACATGTCAGTGCCCATCTGAGCTGCCTTTCAGTGTCACCCATCAGTGCCAGTCAGTGCCAACTATCAATGCCAATCAGTGCCACCTATCAGTGCTGCCAATCAGTGCCACCTATTAGTGCCAGTCAGTGCCACCTATCAGTGCTATATATCAGTGCCATGTATCAGTGCTGCCTTTCAGTGCCCATCAGTGATGCTTGTCAATGCCCATCAGTGCCACCTATCAGTGTGCATCAGTGCCACCTATCAGTGCCAGTCAGTGCCGCCTATCAGTGCCAGTCAGTGCCGCCTAACAGTGCAGTCAGTGCCGCCTATCAGTGCCAGTCAGTGCCCCCTATCAGTGCCATATATCAGAGCCATGTATCAGTGCTGCCTTTCAGTGCCCATCAGTGATGCCTGTCAATGCCCATCAGTGCCACCTACCAGTGCCTCCTCATCAGTGCCCATCAGTGCCACCTATCAGTGTCCATCAGTGCAACCTATCAGTGCCCATCACTGCAGCCTCATTAGCGCACATCAGTGAAGGAGAAAAATCACTTATTTACAACATTTTAAAACAAAACTAAGAAATGTTTTTTTTTCAAAATTTTTCAGTGGTTTTTGGTTTGTTTAAGAAAAAATAAAAAACCCAGAGTTGATTAAATACCACCAAAATAAAGCTCCATCTGTCACAAAAAATGATAAAAATGTCATATGGGTTCAGTGTTGCATGACAGCGCAATTGCCACTCAAAGTGTGACAGTGCTGAAAGCTGAAAATTGGCCTGGGCAGGAAGGGGGTATAAGTGCCCTGTAGGCTTGTGGTTAAATGGTGTTGCCTCAGAAGGGGGGTAGTCTTATACGACGAGTATAGCCCAAAACCTATGTTTTAACTGGAAAATTAGGGGGTCTTCTTATACACTCAGTCGCCTTATAAACCGGCAAATACAATACTAATATTTCTTAGAATAGATATTTCTCAGCATTAATTAGTACTTTCTTTGATGTAACATTGTTATTTAAGCATTCCCACTGTTTTTTGTATGGTATACAAATTAATTTATTAGAAAGCATTGACTATGAATATGAGTTAAACATCCAATGCACACACACAAAATAATAATCCTGTAGGACTAAAATACTGTTACTATTCCTTATTGCTTTGGCAAACAGAGATAAATGATTTATTGCAAAATAATATATGCATGGTGAAAAGCTTTATTTGTTTTACTTCTTAGTTTGAAATGAAAAATATTCTATTAAAATGAGTACTTACAGTAAATACAGAAACACCATTTACTCTGATTTTCTCTGTGTGGTTTACAGCACTAAAAAAAAAGTTTGCTATATTTTAAAATTATTCAGAATTTCGGAACTTTAAGGGCTCAATTGCTTCTTTGTGGTGCATTTAAATATGTGTATTAATGCTTATTATCTCATAGTTTAATGTGCCTTAAAATTAAAAACTACAGAGCTGCCAAGGCACCCTAACATGCCCAGGATCATACATTACTTTTTTACACTCCAAGGTAACACACATTGAGGCTTATTTACTAAAGACAGGGAGTGAAAAATCAGGCTCACTTCTGCATAGAAACCAATCAGCTTCTAACTTCAGCTTGTTCAATTAAATTTGGCAATAAGACCTGGAAGCTGATTGGTTTCTATGCAGAAGTGATCCTGATTTTGCGCTCTCCAGTTTTAGCAAATAAACCCCATAGATTAATTAAAAAATGTTTCACGGCCAGTTCACAACATAGAAACCCAGTCCGGATGCGCTTCGGATGCGTTTCTGCATGTATGTTTTTGATACGTTTTGATTTGTTCTGGTGTTTTTTTCCTCCCTCTTATTTTCTTCATCTTAATTAGAGACATGTGCGATCGAATGCATTTTTGGTGCGTTAAGGTGCATTCCAGTGTGGTTTTGATACGTTTTGCTGCGTTCTAGTACAGTTCAGTGCAGAAAACATACTGCATGTTCTTTTTTTTCTGCACTGGACCACACTGGAACTTACTGCACTGGTATGAACTACGCCATTAAAACCCATATAAACTACTTGAATACAAGAAAAAAGAACCACAGCGCCCACGCCCACCTTCCCAACACACTCTTTACGTGAAATGCAGCTGTACACAGGTATAAAACCACAAAATTTCTTCAACTTAAAAAACAGCGAAAAAACACAAAAACAATCAGTATATGTGAAATACCTTATCCTATAAATAATGTTAATACAAATATTACAATTTTATATAAGTGTCAAAAAAAACAAAAAAATCCAATGACACATAAAAAAAACAAAAAATCAGTGACACATACAAAAACAAAAAGTCCAGTGACACATACAGAAAAACATCCAGTGACCAAAAAAACTGATATTTTCATAAAATTCTTCAGTGCCAATAGTAATCCTTCCACCATCCACCAGTGCAAAACCAACATGAACCGCACTCACCAGATATTTGGTGAGTATAACGCCTTTCAGGATTATTTAGGGCTCCTGGGCCCCCTTTATAACCTCCAAATATTGCCACCTCTAAGATATAGAAAACTCCTCCGATTACTCCCCTCGCCGACTCCACCAGATTCCAGGAAGAATAAATAAACTACTGCCCATGTGATTTTTATGCAGACAAAATGCACTGGGCTGCATCTGGTGTGAATTAGCCCTTAGTTAAATAAGCTATTATGAGCAAGATTTTCTGTTCATTGTTTATCTGTTTACAAATTAATAAAAATGATGGGCAAAAGAAATAGGATTATGTATCATGCAAGTAACTCACATGAGATTTTAAAGGTGCCAAGAGTAATCAAGACATTGATTTCTCTTCTAAAAAAGTTTGAATTTCTCATGACTGACCTCTGACATGTACCTGGATTACTCTTTGGATTGCTGCCTGACCTTGACTTTGGATTTTCCATTGAACTACACTAGCTCACTTCCTGCCCTGACCCCTGAACTGTTTATCAGATTACATTTGTTTGTTACCCACCCTAATTGTCCGAAGATTCCACTACGAACTGTTTCTGCTGCTAGACCAGCCTTTGGACCAAAGGTATACTTCCTTTCAGGCCCACTGCTGTCTGGCCATGAACTATAGCATCATGTTCTAAGACCTGGGCGCATCCAAGTACTGGTAGGCTTGCTTGCCTTATGAGGCTGCTATAGACAAAAAAAACACCAGCCAGATAGAGTTCCTGACCTAGGCATCAGGCTATACATTACGTTCCTGACACCAACTGATACGGTTCAGACACTCACAAATCTGGAGTAAAATCTTAGCTTGTCTATCTCCAGTTTGGCTGATCACCTCCACTCTCAAGCTCCTCAAGGTCAGGAATCAGTTCTGGCTCTCCACGAAGAACTTACCCTCAAGCCTTCCTATCCAAAAACTGGCTCCTAGGTTTATTGGTCATTATAGGGTAATTCAGCAGGTTAACCAGGTTCTGTTCTGAAGCCTTTTCATCGAGGTACCATAATTTCTTTTCAGCCACCCCTAATTGTCAAAAGCATTATGAAGTGATCCTTATCCTGGATTACTGGAAAGTCAGGAAGTCTGTATAGCACCTTGTGCCAGGAAAGGGTTTAGCTCTGAACTCTTGGATTCCTGCCACCTCAGTCTATACACACAGTTCTTTGAGCAATTTCCATCATTTTTACTCTGACAAGCCAGTCCTAAAGGGTCTGGAGGGCCCTTCTCAAAGGGGGGGGGGGGGTACTTAGGAGCATACTACATATGCTGTACAGTTAATTTTGTGGATAATATCTCTCAGTATCTCACTGGTCTAGACATCTCCACAGCAGATGTAAATGGTCCCCCTGATCTGAACCCATTTAACACAACAATGACTGTCTTCTGCCGTGTTCTATATAATAATAAAGGTGTGTGATATAATCTATGCAATATGAATAATTGGGTCCATCTTTGAGAGGGAAATAGGTAAACCTAATCCATATCTCATCAGACAAACTGCCCAAGTGAGATTCCCATTTCTGTTTGCACAGTAGACAAAATTGGCCTAAACATTTGAGCATTAAAGTGTTATTAAACCCAGGACCCTGCATTCATTTTATCTGGTCTCCCACAGTATGCAGAACATGGAAATGCAATTATTTTAGTAAATATGAACTGCTAAATATCTTTTCTCATCAGCAGTTAGAGCAGTCGTGTGACTTCTATCAGTGTTCAGCAGAGCACTGGTTACAGCTTGTAGCAGGAGTTTTCATTCTGCCATGGGAGGATGCAAAACCCCTGACCTCTATCTGGGCAGTGTGGACTGGCCCTGTGCTGATCATATGCACTCTGCCAAGAAAAAAAAACCTCTCTAACAATACGCACCAAACTGAGCATATGCAGTGTCTCTACACCATATGTCTTATCAGGAGATAAGAGGGGGACACAGGAAGAAGGAGAGGATCAGAGAAGTCAGGATAAAAACAGCCTTTTTACACAATGCAGAGGATTAACCCCTTAGATTCCACAGTGAGTATAACAAGCATGCTTTACTGCATATAAAGCCTGCTTTTACTGTTGTGGGTTTAGTAATAATTTAAGTATACATAAATAAAGTATATAAATCCTTGGTGTGGATAGAATGGACCAAGCCATCCAGTACTCTTTAGGGTAAAAAACCAAATTGTACTTGCAGGAAGGATGTAAACTGACCATCATCATAGAGTTGGATAACAAAGGCCTCCCATAACTAAAAACCTTGAAGTTTAACAATCTCTATCAATAAATCATTCATTCAGATGGGGTGACAGTCTCCTAGTATGTGCAATAAATGTCTGGACATTTCCCAGGCCTTTTCTACAAGCCTGACCATTTTTGCAATGTATCACTTTTTTTACCTACAGCTTCCAGAATTTGAAAAAGACCCCCAGCCCCAAACCATACATTGTCTGTGTCTTTTTTTTTTTTTTTTTAAACTATGAAAATTGAAGGTTCTCAAAACGTATGCTAAAAAATATGAAGTTTGGCTTTACACCTATCTGTTAAAGTAACCCTTAATACACAGTGCTGTGTGTGTGCTGCAGTGCATTGAGAAAAAAATAACTTAATGGGTTTGACACAACACAGCCCAGTTAGTATTGAGCCCTTAGTACAGGGGTCCTCAAACTACGGCCCGCGGGCCACATGCGACCCGCCGAGCACACTCATCCGGCCTGCCAGCAGGGGACACCAAGTACAGGGGTGGGCAGGGGGCTGCTGTCTCTTACCTGGCTCCAGTCCCAGTCCCACGACGATCCAGTCCAGGATGCGCAGCTCCTTCACTTCGGCCGCTCCCTCACTCGATGTCCACGCTGCCGCTCGGCTCCGCCTCCTCACCGGTGATTGGGCGCCAGTACTGTAGCTCAGGAAAGGCATTTTAGTGTGTGAAATAAGTAAAAAAGAATCATTCTGGATCTATGAGTTAGGAAGCCTAGCACCAGGGGGTTTAAATAAGGAGTTTGATTTGTCATGCTTCATTAGTGATATTTAAATTTAGGTACATTATATGAAGGTGGAAAATCAATTTATTGAGTTATGACCTCTTCTTGTAGTGTTCTGGATCTTGGTGTGGTGAATGAGAGAGATGAGCATTAGAGATATAGGTGAGGGAGGACTCATCTCTTATTCAACACATGTATATATTTTACTGAGATTGTGTTACTATGTTTTAATATATCACGTATTACTAGTGGTATTTAAATGGAGGTACTATATATGATAGTGGAGGGCTCTGATGTACAGTTTAATATGAAAAGAAGCGGTACATTTGAGTTATAAGTGTAGGTAAGCTTTATTTGTATATATCAGATGTGCAAATTATTAATGGGATCGATGTGGGAGATTTTTATTTGGTATAATTATTATCTTTTGATATGTTAATTAAAAATATCTTTTGTATGAGATTTTTTATTTTATTTTATATTTTTTTATTTTTTCTTTGTATAAAATTTTTTTTTTATTTTTATATATTTTTTTCTTTGTATATTCTTTCATATATATTGTTTTATTATTTGTGCATAATTATTAGTTTGTATATTTTAACATATTCTAATTATTTTTATTCTTTTATATAGATGTATGTATATTTTTTATATATATATATTATATCTGTATATTCTTATGTATGATGATTTGTAAAAATTTTTTTTTTTTTTTTTGTAAAAAAAGATTGTTTTTAAATATAAAGAATTAATTTGGTTTATGAGTATAATATATGGGGAGATCGTTTGAATCCAAGTAGTCTGAAGAGTCATGTCACAATGTATCCCTCCGAGAGAAGTAATGCAGTAAGTGCAACAAATGTATCAATGGGAAAGAGTGTTAACATTACTAAATTGCCCCAAAAACATGGCTGCCCCCTGTAGATATACAAAAAAATGGCGGAGCCGAGCTATATAAGCCGGCAATGGGTGAGTGACTGACCTATCATAACCCCCTGATGAAGCCACGTGACCAGTGGCGTAACGCGTAGGGGTGGGGCTGCGACATCACTCGGAGGTAGCCGGATTGTTTGACAGACGGCGGTGTGCATGACTCAACGGTCAGCGGAGGATTCTTGGTACATACAAGATTGCCTTATATTGATCGCATAAAATGTGAGTGTACTACTTGGAAGGAATAAAGGAGCATTTTTAAAAAGGATAAAAACACTATGTTTGAAAATGTTTTTTCCTATATATGGAGAGACGCATAAAGAGGAGAATATAGGAGGCTTGTAACATTACAAGGAGGGATTAATCCCAGAGGGGATAATCAGTAATAAAGGATACCCCTATTCCACAAGAAAGGAGCCCCTTACTCCAATCTAAAAAGGAAAAAAGTCTTAATCAAGCAGGTTCCAAAGGAGGTGAACCAAAAGCGCATATAGCCTAATTGTAGGCAATTAAAGAGGTGAGCTTACATCTGTACTAATTGGAGGATTCACAAACAGTCACGGATTGAAGATTAAATAAAGCACAAGAGTCACTATTTTATTTTTATGATTAATGGGACACTTTCTTTATATAACACTAATTATATATGAGTGTTTATTCACAATTATTTTTTGAGATTCATATTTTTTACTAATAATGATGTGTAATTTGTTTAATAATAATTAATTTTTATAATCATTGATATTTATTATTATGAATTATTGAGGTTTTATAATCAGGGAAATTTTTTTTTGGTATTTAGTTATTATTATGCATGAATACTTAATTGTGGTTAATGGTATGAACATACGTTAATAATTTTTTTTAATTAGATCACTTTTTTATATATGATTATTATCTTTAAGGATATAAATAGGGGGTTATTAGTACTAAAAAGAGATATTATAAATTAATAAGGAGCGCAACACACACTTTGGTGAAATAATATGTACACACAGTGGTAATTATTGTGTTGGATGTTTGCGATCCATTAGTAGTAAGGACAAATTCTGTTTAGATTTGTGCTTTAAGGTGGTCAATTGGTAGATATAATTTGGCTCGCAAGATATATATGATTATATTTGTTTTCAGGAAAGGCACACAGGCAGCCAATCACCGGCGAAGAGGCGGAGCCGAGCGGCAGCGTGGACATCGCGAGTGAGGCTGGGAGCTGCCAAAGTGAAGGAGCTGCGCATCCTGGGACTGGATCGTCGTGGGGACTGGGACTCCCCCCACTGACACCAACGAGGGGGCACTATTCCACCCAGAGGTCTGACACCAACAAGGGGGCCACTATTCCACCCCCAACTGACACAAACAATGGGGCACTATTCCTCCCCCCCCACTGACACCAACGATGGGGCACTATTCCACCCCCCACTGACACCAACGATGGGGCACTATTCACCCCCACTGACACCAACGATGGGGCAATATTCCACCCCCCACTGACAACCAAACAATGGGGCACTATTCCTCCCCCCACTGACACCAACGATGGGGCACTATTCCCCCCCCCCACTGACACCAATGATGGGACACTATTCCACCCCCCCCCCACACTGGCACCGATGACGTACTATTCCCTCCCACTGACACCAACGATGAGGCACTATTCCCCCCCCCCACTGGCACCAATGACGTACTATTCTTCCCACTGACACCAATGATGGGACACTATTCCTCCCACTGACACCAATGATGGGACACTATTCCTTCCAACTGACACCAATGATGGGACACTATTTCCTCACACTGACACCAATGATGGGGCACTATTCCTCCCAATGACACCAATGATGGGGCACGATTCCTGCCACTGATACCCAATGATGGGGCACTATTCCTCCCACTGACACCAATGATGGGGCACTATTCCTCCCACTGATATCAATGATGGGGGCACTATTCTTCTCCCACTGATACCAATGATGGGGCACTATTCCTCCGACTGACACCAATGATGGGGCACTATTCCTCCACTGACACCAATGATGGGACACTATTTCCTCCCACTGACACCAATGATGGGGCACTATTCCTCCCACTGATACCAATGATGGGGCACTATTCCTCCCACTGACACCAATGATGGGGCACTATTCCTCCCGCTGATACCAATGATGGGGGCACTTTTTTTCCCACTGACACCAACGATGGGGCACTATTCCTCCGACTGACACCAATGATGGGGCACTATTCTCCCCACTGACACCAACGATGGAGCACTATTCCTCCCACTGACACCAACGATGGGGCACTATTCCTCCCACTGACACCAACGATGGGGCACTATTCCTCACCACTGACACCAACGATGGGGCACTATTCCTCCCACTGATACCAATGATGGGGCACTATTCCTCCCACTGACACCAATGATGGGGCACTATTCCTCCACTGACACCAATGATGGGGCACTATTCTTCCCACTGATACCAATGATGGGGCACTATTCCTCCCACTGACACCAATGATGGGGCACTATTTTTCCACTGATACCAAATGATGGGGCACTATTTTTCCCACTGACACCAATGATAGGGCACTACTCCTCCACTGACACCAATGATGGGGGCACTATTCCTCCCACTGACACCAATGATGGGGCACTTTTTCTCCCACTGATACCAATGATGAGGCACTATTCCTCCCACTGACACCAATGATGGGGCACTATTCCTCCCACTGACACCAATGATGGGGCACGATTCTTCCCACTGACACCAATGATGGAGCACTATTCCTCCCACTGACACCAGTGATGAGGCACTATTCCTTCCACTGACACCAACGATGGGGCACTATTCCTCCCACTGACACCAACGATGGGGCACTATTCCTCCCACTGATACCAATGATGGGACACTATTCCTCCCACTGACACCAATGATGGGACACTATTTCGCTCCATAAGACACACTTAGGGGGGAAATGTCTGTGCGTCTTATAGAGTGGCTGGCCCAGTATTCCCGCCGCCTCTGAACAAATGCGGACACAGTACAGGAGATGACCATAGTTTTTTTTTTTAAAACTATAGTCCGGCCCTCCAACGGTCTGAGGGACAGTGAACTGGCCCCCTGTTTAAAAAGTTTGAGGACCCCTGCCTTAGTATGTTGAAGCACCGCAGTGCACATTCACACCTAGGGCTGTGAATACCATCAGCTCTGAGAGACTTACAGTTAGTGAAGCAAGCAGCATTTAATTCCTGCATTGTCATACGGAAAGCCAGATCAGTTTGCACAGTGAATGAGAGTGGGGAGGACAGTGGGAGAGAGTGGAAAAAGAAAAAAAGCATGGTTAAATAAATGGAGTGTTGGATTGGTTTTTGAAGGCCAGAAAAAAGAAATTAGGATGGCAGTGGGATAAAAAGGTTAAAAAAGAGAGAGGTTTGTATTTGCTGGTCAGATAGAACCTATGGAGTGGGTGGCAGGTACTGAAATTAGGGGGGGTGATTCGGGTGTGTACACAGGAAATATGTATGTGAGTCAGGAGGAAATTCCTTGTGCACTCACTATGATGGGCATCATATATCCTGTAAGTGAAGGCCCATGGGGTGTAGGAGTGCTGCAAGGCTTACTCACTCTCTACTTTGTTCTGGGTGAAAAAACCTAGGTTGTCTTTGAAACTAACATAAAAAAGGCAACCGCAGGGGTGGACTGACAACTCATGGGGCCCCCGAGCAATAGGGGATCATGGGGCCCCTGTGTCCTTGCCCAAACTCAAAAAAGCCTATGAAAAAGGTACCAGGAGCATTCTCATTGGGCCACCTACTGACCCCGGGCCCTCGGGCAGTGCCCGAGTTTCCAAATGATCAGTCTGCCCTGGGCAACCATGTTAGTGGAAAAACAGATAAAACATAACAATGATAATCGGGGAGTTTCGAATCTTACGTTGGTAAGTCGGTAGTCATTACAGATAAATGTTAGTGATAGAAACGACGGAAAACGCGGGATAGTTAATCAATGATAATCGTGGGCTCTGTCATAGTCATGAATCAATACGGGCTCGTGTCATGTCATGAATCAATACGTGGACCACATCAACCAAATAGTTCCCAATTCCCATTTTCCCTGTTTGCTCTTCTTTCTTCTATAGGTTGGCTTCCCACAAATGTGTATATTTCAATGTACATCAAAGCTATGGTTGGCATGGAAGAGGTACAGGGTGTCCACGGGCTATCTAGTGTATTAGGAGTAAATTGGAGGCCTCTACTAGGTAGCTGACTGTCACTTATATGGAGAAGACTTGGTCTCAGTAACCGTAAATAGGAAGTGTAAGAGTAATTCCGGAGAGGGACTCTGCAGAGTTATTCACTTCATATGAACATCACACTTCTAAAGCTGGTTGGAAGCACTGCAGAGGTACAACAGTTGAACTCTCCTCTTCCTTCTCCTCTCAGGCAAATCAGAACAGAAGCAGACACTATCCTACACCAGTCACTAAGCTCCCAGAGACATCCTGCTGATAGCAGCTCTGTGAAATCCAGAGCCAGAACCAATAAAAACCTATTGGACACAAAGGTGGAAAAATTGCTAAAAGGTATCTACGTCTTTGTGGGGACTTCAATTATATTCCTTAACAAAGCATTAGATACTTCTAACCCCTACTATGAGTCAAATACTAATCCTTGAACATCTATTGCACACAGAGAATCTTTTTGAAGTGTGCATATGGCACCACTCAACGGAATGAAACTCTACTTTTTTTTTCTACTGTCCACAGAACACATGCCAGAATAGACCTGGTTTGACAGACAAATGGTTTTGTATGTTTCTACTATGAGACATAACCATACATCTATAACTTTATCCATATAGAAAAATTATGACTAAAGATTTAGTTTCTGTGGAGAAACTACAGATCTATTCTCTCCCTGAAATCTAAAACGACTATTACTCTACAATTTTCAGAGTATTTTTATTTAAATGACAGCCATATTTACCATGTAGAATGCCCGCAAAGCAGTCTAGCAAGACATTTTAGACTCTTATGCTTGGGTGAGGGGACAGAAAGTGTGGCAGTTTGTTATGCTCATGGAAAAAAAATAAAACTTTGGAGAAACAAAATACAGCATTTTCCACTGTACAAGTAACAACTCAACTTACTTTGGTTATACATAAACTGAGAAGACTTGCTATAGAAAAGGAATCCTCCTTAAGATATTTAAAATGTTTTATTATAGTGGCAATATAGGAGGGATGTTGTTTGCAAACAAACTTAAATACAAACAGCTGTCCTATTTAATCCACCCTAAAACTAATGCCTAAAATAATGAATCTCCAGCTTATTGCTGAACTATGCTGGGAATATTATGAAAAATTTGGATACTACTATTCTTCAACCTACACAGAGCACTATTTCTAGTTTATGTATGATCCTTACATCTCCCATAGCCTTACAACAAATCAATTGCACAACCTTATTTTTACATTTATTGTATCAGAAATTGATAAACTGATTAGTACCTTACCAAACAACAAATTTCTGTAAAATAGGTTTCACGGAAAACTATTATAAACATTTTAGGGATGTAACGTCTCCGTATAGATCAGGGGTGGGCAAACTTTTTGACTTGGGGGCCGCAATGGGTTCATATGTTGGACCCGGGGGCCGGACCAAGAGTAGATGAATGATGTGTATGTGTCATCCATAGTAAGTATAGTAATATTCCCCCATAGTAAGCATAGTAATTAATCCCCCATATAGTAATTCATCCCCCATAGTAATTCATCCCCCATATAGTAATTCATCCCCCCATATAGTAATTCATCCCCCATAGTAATTAATCCCCCATATAGTAATTCATCCCCCATAGTAATTAATCCCCCATATAGTAATTCATCCCCCATAATAATTCATCCCCCATATAGTAATTCATCCCCATAGTAATTCATCCCCCATAGTAATTCATCCCCCATATAGTAATTCATCCCCCATAGTAATTCACCCCCCATATAGTAATTCATCCCCCCTATAGTAATTCATCCCCCCTATAGTAATTAATCCCCCATATAGTAATTCATCCCCCATAGTAATTCATCCCCCATAGTAATTCATACCTCATATAGTAATTATTCCCCCATAGTAATTCATCCCCCATATAGTAATTCATCCCCCATAGTAATTAGTCCCCCATTCATCACCCCCCATATAGTAATTCATCCCCCTATAGTAATTCCACCCCATATAGTAATTCATCCCCATAGTAATTCATCCCCCATAGTAATTCATCCCCCATAGTAATTCATCCCCCCATAGTAATTCATCCCCCCTATTCATTAATTCATCCCCCATAGTAATTCATCCCCCATAGTAGTAATTCACCCCCCATAGTATTAATAGTAATTCACCCCCCATATAGTAATTCACCCCCCATATAGTAATTCATATAGTAATTCATCCCCCATATAGTAATTCATCCCCCATATAGTAATTCATCCCCCATAGTAATTCACCCCCCATATAGTAATTCACCCCCCATATAGTAATTCATCCCCCCATATAGTAATTCATCCCCATATATTATAGTAATTCATCCCCCATATAGTAATTCATCCCCCATATAGTAATTCATCCCCCTATAGTAATTCATCCCCCATAGTAATTCATCCCCCAGCCCCCCCCCTGTGTCAATTCACTTACCATTTGCCTCCATAGTAATTCATCCCCCGGTAGTAATGATTTCATCCCCCATAGTAATTCATTATAGTAATTCATCCCCCCCATAGTAATTCATCCCCCATAGTAATTCATCCCCCATATAGTAATTCATCCCCCATAGTAATTCATCCCCCCCATATTAATTCATCCTCCATATTAAGTCCCCAAGCCCCCCCTGTGTCAATTCACTTACCTTTGCTCCGCGCGTTCCTCTCGCCGTTCCGGTGTAGCATGAAAATCTGTCTCCTATGAGGATCTGTCCCCCTCGACGTATCTGCGCATGTGCCAGTTTCAGGCCGTAGCAGCCGATCCATGATTAGATCTCCGGCATCATGCGCAGATACGTCGAGGGGGACAGAAGATCATCCTGACAGTATCACGCTCCGCGGGCCGGATTAAAAGGTCCGACGGGCCGTATACGGCCCGCGGGCCGTAGTTTGCCCATTGCTGTATAGATCAATATCCTTACTGAATAATTAATCTGAAATTATACGTCAAAATCACAGCTATTGAAGTCATAAAAATTATTCCTCAACTTACCAATACAGGACCAGGTAAGCCAAATATTATTTGCCTACTTGAGAAAGAAGAAATGCCCCTCTTTACTGTTGGTATATATCCTGAAAAGGCATTCAACAGAATTCAATGGATCTATATGTCACAGGTTTTTAAACATTTGTCTTAAAATTAAACTTTTTTTCCCATAATTGGCCCTATATACTAGTC